ATCTTCACCAAATTTGGCTCAAAAAACTTTCACTTTTAACATTCTTCTTCACAATTCTTCCACTTTTGCACTCAAATCTTCCATTTTTGCACTCAAAAAATGATATAATGTCGAAGAGAGGCAATGAAACCCCACGAAAAAGTAGAAGGTTGAATGATGAAGCAAGATCGAAGTTCCGTGGGATAGGGTTGACGAAGTAATCATCCCAGTCAGCATCAACGATAAATTCCATTGGTTCCTTGATGTATTCCGGATCAAACGTAGATGTCTATATGTCTATGATTCGATGATGGGAGGATATGTTAATTCAAGAAAAGTTACAGAAGTTGTTGATAAGCTTGCAACCATGATTCCTTTATTCTAATGAGCACAGGGTTTTATGGAAAAAGGCTTGATTTGTATGTGAATAATCTCCCTTATTATCAACAAAAGTCTCATTCTGAACCTCTCAGTATCAAGAATGTTACACATGTTCCTCAACAAGAAGAAAGTTCAAAGTATGTATACTTGTTACATTATTTTTTTTTCATCTTAAATTAAATTTGCTTTATAGTCATTACAAAATTTTTATTATTTCAATTTTTTTACAGTGATTGTGGTCTATACACATCTCTCTTTCCGAATACATGAGCAATGGTGTTTTTAATATATCACATATTGATATTGATTCAAAGTATCATCGTCAAAGATATGGTACATTACTTTGACATTATGCAAAATCAAAGAATGATGAAGGCGCAATAAGTGAAAGTGAAGTTACAGGAACAGTTGCTAGCAAGAAGGGTGGACCTCGAACTCATAAAGAACAAGTTATGGACACCACCAATTATCCTACTCCAAAATTCCGTAACAGGAAGTAAAAATCTTCATGGCACAAGGTACATTTTTTTGAATGACTTGTTTTTTTTAACTTATGAACAATTTATGTAATTTTCCAGGTTTTTATTATGAATACTAATGGTTTTATATAAATTATTACTGATTATTATTAATTAAAAAATGTGTATCACTTTGTATAAATTTTGAACGCAACAAAAAAATATAGAAACAATGTATGAATCATGTATAAACATTATATGAATTATGAATGTCATATTATAATTTGATATATAGAACATAGACAATACTATTTTTTAAAAAAAATTATATAAATGATAGTCTGCTTCACTATATATTTTATATAATGTTAAATGTGTATGATATTTGTATAAATTGCACTTTTCAATATGTAATATTAAATTCTTATATGCATAATGTATGAAAAATATATGAAATAGTACTGACATATGATTCAACATGACAATATGAATAAATATATAATTATACCTTAATAATTGTGTATGACTTTTGCATAAATTTATTTTGTATGAATACTATATGAATACTGTATACTTTCAAATACAAACAGAAACAAATGTTACTTATATTACTGGTATGAATACTGTATGAAAAATGTAGAACATAAATATACATTATTTTTATATGCAACTATTGCTTGTATAAATGTATAGATTTTGTATATAGTCCTCATTCATTATGCAATAATTGTATGCATACTATATGATTATATGACTTATTAATGATAACGAATGTTAATATATGAGCAGTTGTATATACAATGTATGACATTTGTATGAAAAGTAATATGATTCAATAAAAAAATAATGTTATAACAATGTAAATACTCAAAAACATAGATGTAACAGTAGGAAATCATTGTTTTTGTACAGGATAATTTGAACATGTCTTCCTATTGTGTCCAACTTGATGGCATCTACTGCATGTGTTTTTTGTCCTCTTGAATTTCACATCAGCGAACCCCTTCCAGCGTTCAAATTTGGGTCTTCTCGCTGATCTTTTTGGACCGGGTGACATCATTTTAGGCTCTGAAATATAACTTGGTATATCTCATGTACTCTTGCACGGGATAGGCTCGACAGGAATGGCATAAGCATCTCTAAAATTCTTGAGGCTATAATACATTTTATCTCAACAAAATTTATATTTTCTTCTATATTAAGTTGAGATACTATAGCACTAACTAAACCAATATAAAGAGTAGAAGTATCATATAGGATGCCTTCCATCTCAAAGTCGACGTATTTTCCTGTGTTCACAACATTAAAATTACATTTAGTGCATCACATAATACATACAAAATTCATACACAGTTTAAATATAATTCACTGATATATACAAAAAAAATCCAATTTAATACACATTTAATACAATGTTTATACACAATTCAAACATATGAAACATATCAAGTATGAAAAAACAATTCATACACAAATACTATACAATTCACTGCTACATACAATCTAAAATGCACTTTTCATACACAATTTACACAGTTTAATAAAAATTGTATACACAATTAATCCAACCTTTATACAGAATTCATATATATATATAACAAATCAATCACTGATATATACAATAAAAAAAATGGGCGCTCATACATATTTCATACAATATATTGATACATTACATACATAAATAATACAGTATTCATATTTCACCAATATACAAAATTTTAACATCTGACAATTTAAATATAATATGGAATAACTTTTACCAAAAATTTACATTTCATATAATGTTCAAACAATATCAATACAAATTGTCAAATTTTGTTCATAATTGTTTCATAATAAAAATTGCAAATTGATTCAAAATTGGTAAATTTTTGTATTTTATCCAGTAATCAATTATCACACCAAACTTCATTTTAATTACACATCAAAAGAAAATTACTATTACGTAATATTTATTATCACAAAAAAATACATCAAATCAACATCTGCAATATAACAGAAATAAAAAAAATGAAACATTCCATACACGACAACAAAAAAATATATATAATTACAACCAATAATTTATAATTAAAACATAACAAATCATAAATAAAAACTAACCTGTTGAATTTCATTTGCCACCATGTTTAATTAAAATTGACACAATTTTCTTCATCAAATCAAATCTAAACGTTTTCAACCTTCAATTTTAATTATTTTTCAAAAAAAAACGAAAAAATATATCAATATTCAAATATAAGAATAATCCTCACTTTCTGGAAAAAAAATCAAACAATGGATGTTTATGGAAAAAAGATAACAGATTAGAGTTTTTTAAGGATAAAAATCATAACTTGTTAGCATTTAAAACAAATTGAGACATTTATGGTGTCTATCTATTATTAAAATATTTTCAAAAATCCATGTGCATATTAGTTATCAGTTAATAATAATAACTAATTTCACGCACATTATCTAATTTTAAATTAATCCTTTTTTCTTTACTATCTAATTTTTCAAAATTAAAATTAACATTATTTTCTTTTTAAAAAAATGCTATAACTTGATATATTAAATGTTATAGAATGAAAATCAAACTCTTATGCCATAACTTGAGAATATGACTATATAAAATGCTATATACCTAATTTAAATAATTAACATAATTATAAAATAAAATTCAAAAGGTAATTATAAAATATAATTCAAAAGGGTAAACGATAATAATTCCTAAACTAATTACACCCAACACTTGCCGGGAACTAAACTCTTTGAGATGATTTTCTAGTATTTATAAATGAGCTAATTATGTACGTAATTATAAAAATATATTATGAAATTAATTTAACATAACGTAAAATATTTTAAAACTTTATAAAATCTAATTATTTTAAATCGTTTAGGAATTAGGAAGCCCGCTAGCTAATTTATCGGGGAGGTAAAAAATTTGGCTATCAACATTTTCAACTTCAAAATTTTATTTTTCACCATATTTTCAACTTCAAAATTTCATGTTTACTTCCCTACCCTCAACCCCCCCCCCCAACCTCCCAAAATAAATTTTACGTTTGTTCTTAAAAATATTTTCAACTTCAAATTATTTTTTTTTCACCTACCACTCCCTACCAGCCCACGCCCTCCACCCCAAAAAAATTAAAATTTTCTTTTTAAAAATATTTTTAACTTCAAATTTATTTTTTTCACCCCTACCCTCGCCCTCCCACCTACACCCCCTAAAAAATTAATTTTTTTAAAAAAAGTATTTTCAATTTCAAAAATTATTTTATACTCTAATAAAAAAAATTTCATTCATAATCAAATATTAAAAATCATTTTCGAAAAATATTTTCTATTCACCAACCAAATATGAGAAAATAAGTTCAAAATCTACTTGTTTTCCACGAAAACATTTTCTAGGCAAATTTTTTTTTTAGGAAAACATTTTCCCTCATACCAAACAGACTCTTAATGTTGATTAAAGAACTAATGATTTCTTATTTCGTGAATAATTCATTCATTAGAAGTTTTTGGGTTATGTGATAATGACAAAATAATCAAATTCATGTTGGAATATTGCTAATATTTTGTATCAATTTTTTTATACCAAATACATGTAATTTATATATACACGAATACACTGATAAATTGTAGAAATTAATTTTCTTCGTTCAAACGCGTTAAAATAGAATAGATTCATCAACTTAATTAACACCCCTATTTACATTTCAAAGAGACACAATATTCAACTTAGAGTCAAGTCGGAGAAAAATAAATACCATATAGTAGTATTTAATTGCTTATTTTCCAATAACTTATGTTCATGTTGACTTTGCATTTTTCCCTATATTACCTTTAATGGATTGGAAAAATAGGAACATGTTATGATGATAGTGGTAAAAGTAAAAGAAATCGTTAAGAGTGTTAGAAATATACTAGAGCACATAAAAATAATATTTAACTTATATATATAATATAATATTTTAGCGAAAGGTGTTTTAGACTATCAAATATTGGCGAAGAAAGACGTAAACTATAAGGAAATTGTATTAAAGTTTCAAAGTCTACATAGTCAATACCAACTACCACTATTGTTAGTCTTGGTGCAATTTTTTCCAACTTTCTTTTGGCCAATTTCTCACTCTATTTTTTATTTCTTTTCTTCACATGATTTTGCTATAAATTTACCATTTTCCTCAAATGCAATTGCATCAATATATTGGTTAATATTATTTTTTCCACACATTTGGTGCATAACACTAACATCTACTAGCCAAAAGAACCCTTAAAAATATGTCATCTTCATCAGCGGAATCGAAAATGGCCTTAGCCAAGACTGTATTATCGACAATAGGCTCTGTTGCTGCGACAACCATGTTGGTTCGTTCGATATTCCATGACTACATCCCTCAGGAAATCCATGAATATCTCTTCTTTGGACTTAGAAAAATGTTCACCAAGTTCTCAAATCAGCTAACAATGGTAATTGACGAATTTGATGGTCTTGTTAATAATGAAATTTATGAAGCTGCTGAGACCTATTTGGGCAACAAGTTATCACCTAACATTCATCGACTTAAAATCAGTAAGCCTGAGAAGGAAAAGAATTTCAACATCGCTATGGAACGTAATGAGGAGGTAATGTCTTGTACATATAAAATTGCATGTCATGTTACTTGTTATCATTAAAAGGTTTGGTCTAAATAGAAACTATATGTTACTTTGACTCTTTAAAAAATATTGATGTGTGTTAGATTCTTCAAAAGTTATGCTTGTTTTGAGGATCCAACACAGATAATATGTTCCACCTAAGACTAGAAGTAGCTCCACATCAGACATATGTGATATGAAACATAGTGAGGAGGTAATTAAAGTCTTGCACGCATATATAATGATAATTACATGTCATATAATTTGTTATCATAAAGCCTTTCGTCTAAACTGAACCTATGTTGCCTGAACTCTTTATAAATATTGACGGGTGTGTGTCAGATTCTTCAATAGTTATGCAGAGGATCCAACTCAGGTACAACAACATTTTTGAGTGTCCGTTTCTATCAGACATATGACTCTTTTTCCTAACAACCACCATTGGAATAGTAAAATTAGTCGCCTTTCTTGAAAATTCATACGTCATGATTTGAAGAAAGATTGTATTCACAAATTCAATTAAATTTCCGCGTTCAATTTACCCTAATGATAATTTAATGTAATAGATCGCGTGAAGACGATAAAAAATCTCAAGGTTTTATTTCAACAGGTGACAGATGTTTATAATGGACAAACATTCAAGTGGATTTGGCTCTGTAGACAAACACAATCTACAAATTTCTATAATTCCATGGACATGAATTCCACTCTAAAATCTGAAATCAGGTCCTTTGAGCTGACATTTCACAAGAAAAACAAGGACCTTGTACTTAATTCGTATTTGCCTCACATAATGAAAGAAGCAAAATTGCAAAAACACGTAAACAAGACGATCAAGATTCACACTGTGGATTGTGAGAGAATGTACAATTTACACGAAATGTGGAAGCCGGTGAATCTTAATCATCCAGCCACTTTTGAGACAATCGCGATGGAATCAGATCAAAAAGACATGATCTTAAAGGATTTGGAGAGATTCGTGAAGAGGAAAGATTATTATAGGAAAGTTGGCAAGGCATGGAAAAGAGGATATTTGTTGTTTGGTCCTCCAGGGACTGGGAAATCTAGTTTGATTGCTGCAATGGCGAATTATTTGAACTTTGATATATATGATTTGGAGTTGACCTCGCTGAGGGGGAACTTAGAGTTACGAAGGTTGTTGGTTGCTACAGCCAATAAATCCATTTTGGTGGTGGAGGACATTGATTGTACCATCGACTTGCAAGATAACTTGGCTAATCGAGCTACTTATGTTCATTCAATTAATGGTTTTCATATGCAAGAACACAAGGTAAACTAGTTTTTTATTTTCCGTTCCTCTCTTACAATACATACTAGGTATGAATTCGGATAATCAGACGTGTGTTTCAAATACCAAATGATTAAATAGAAAAAATAATGGTATAATACATATATTAGATGAGAAAAGACATAAAATCACCATCGAAGTTGTTTCGAATTTTTAAAAAGACATCTTAACTTTACAAGTGTCCTGTTACCCCATTAAACAATTTCAAAATAGAATATATATACCCCATTTTTCATTCTATACCACTAATATAAAAATATTTGTATGTCACACACTAATAATCACTTGTCACGTGTTAAAATAATTTTTAATTATTTTCATCTAATTTTTTGTATTTCTTTTATTTTTCTTTTTTCCTTTTTTCTCTTTCTTCTTCACCTCAACTCTGTTATTTCTTTTTCTCTTTCTTCTTCATCTCAATTGAGTTGTTTTTTTCCATTCTCTTTGTGCTGCAGCAACATCAAATCCATTGTGGCTGAGCAGATTTCGCAGCATCACTGTTAAGTTTTAGTCAAATTACTATCAATTAATTTATTTATGAAAATAAATATCATCAAGTAATTAAAATCCAAATACTCAAATATTACCAAGTCAAAATCTGACATTTAAATCATCACCTTCTTCAACTCTTACTTCCAAATTGAATTTTTCATAGTTTAACTACTCCCAAATTCCAATCTTGATTTGTAAGAGAAAAAAATCACTAAACTAATTAATTTTTTTAAAAAAATTTACTGAATAAAATTAGTTTAAAAATAAAACGTCAAAAAGGAAAAAGAGAAAAAGAAAAAAAAATGAAGGAAGTCATGGATGCTCAAGAAATATGGGTAAGCTAATGATGGTAGGGAAGATGAGAAAAAAGATTTGAAAATTTTAAAATTACTCTTAATAAAGTTAAAAAATAAAATAATAATACATGAGTTTTTATTAAAAAATTTCAATAAGGCAAATTGGAAGTGTCAAATGGCAATTTTACATTGGTATGAAGTTGTATCAACAGTCCTTCACGCGCCCATATGCTGTGACAACATGAGTGGTGTTAAAATTAGTCAAAATGGTATATTTATTATAGATTTAGATAATTTTGCGGGTAATAGGACACTCACAAAGTTAAAGTGTCTTTTTGAAAATTCGAAACAACTTCAATGGTAATTTTATGCATTTTCTCATATTAGATCCTAAATTTGGCTACAAATGTTAACTTTGACCTCCAACTTTCATAATGCACAAACATGCACTTTAACTATCCAATTTTTAAATAAATAAACACATGTCCTACATGGCACAGTACACGTAAGACACCACGTAGGACAAAAAATCACATGTAGGACATGTGTGTCTATTTGTCCAACTTTATACTAGTTTAAGTGTCTACTTGTGCACACCCAAAATTGAAGGATATAAACGTAATTCATACCCAAGTTAAAGAAACTATTTATGTATTATGTCAAATTGTATACACAATAAATTGCCGCTATAAACACTCTCAAACTTGGCCTCAATTAACAAGATTTAGACACTACAACTGTCTCAACGCATGCAGGCAACTAAACACTCCAACTCATTCCCATTGCATCTCATGGACACCCGATGCTGATGTGGCACAAAAATAGACATACTCAAAGTTGAACTTTTACTTATTAACCGATGTCAAATTTGAATGTCTATTCACGTATTCTGCCATTTTAGTTTATGGAGAAGTATGACATTTGTTTTGCAGGTTACATTATCAGGTTTACTGAATTTTATTGATGGATTATGGTCGAGTTGTGGAGACGAAAGAATCATAATTTTCACAACAAATCACATAGAGAAACTCGATCCTGCATTGTTACGACCTGGTAGAATGGACATGCACATTCACATGACATATTGCACACCTTGTGGATTCAAACTTCTTGCTAACAATTACTTAGGGATTAAAGATCATAAATTGTTCAAAGAAATTGAAGAATTGATTGATATAGCCAATGTGACACCAGCAGAAGTGGCAGAGCAATTGTTGAAGGAAGATGAAGTTGAGAATTCACTTAAAGGGTTGATTAATTTTCTTTACAAAAAGATAAAAGAGAATGAAGAGGAAAAGGCTAGAAAAATGGAAATAACACAACTGGAATTTGTTGATGAGAAGAAGGAAAATGTTGAAAATGAGATTAAAGAAAAGTAATTACCAAATGGGGAAACTACTTAAAAAAAAGTTTGTCTAATCTATTTATCTAATAAATTGTACAATATTATACGACAACTATACTGAGACAATCCCTATCACTCAATCATGATTATAACATAATTTATATACTTTTATACCTGTTAATTAATCTGAATTAAACGAGTAAGCTGTACGTCCCCCTTGAGAATATTACTTTATAGGAAAAATTACGCGGATAAGCAAACTTATACTATTTAATTACTCATCATAGATATAGTTTGCTATAATTATCACTCGCCACTAACATTATACATTAATTATGTGGGCTTACCTCGAGTTTGAATAATTAATCATGTTTGTATATGTATAATTCGCCAGGATATAAAAATAAATATGTATAATGTACAATTTTTTAGCCTATATACATATACAATTCACCTCTTTCCCACTCTCTGCCCTCCCTCGCTCGCCTATCTCCTCCCTCTCTCATTGTCGCTCGCCTCTCTCCTCCCTCTCCAAATCTCGCTTGTCATTTATACAAATGTATATGTATAATATACAGTTATATACAATTATATACATATACAATTTACCTCTCTCCCACTCTCTGCCCTCCCTCGCTCGCTCGCCTCTATCCTCCCTCTATCGATCTCGCTCACCTACGATAGACTTTCAACTGATGAAAGAGTTACTAAAAAATTTGGAATTAGTATCAGTCCTGGATGTCATTGTTGCACTTCTGATGACTCTAACAGAAATGTTGAAAATGTAGATCACTTTTTTTGTCTAAGTCTACAAGCTTAAAAAATTTGGAAGTTTTTAGCAGGGTCATTGGGAATTGGACATATGCATAACACGCTCAAGATGATATTACTCAGTTGGTGGAATTTGAAGACTAAAAAACCCATTGATTCTTTCATTTCTAAAGCTCCACCTCCAATCATTTGCTGGGAACTCTGGAGAGCTAGGTGTAGCAATAAATTTGAAGTTGTAAAGCCTTCTTTCTTCAGAATCAAAACTAACATCACTTACACTCTATTGCAGGTTGCATAGAAGAATTTTGGTCAAACAAAGATAGGGGAAAACTGGGATAGCCTTTGTCAGATCTTTGAAGCGGACATCAATCAAAGAACTTCAATCAGAGTCAAATGGCTCAAACCACTAAGAAATTGTATTAAGCTCAACAGTGATGGAAGTTGCATTCAAGGCTACTGTGGTGGGGGAGGGTTAATCAGAGACCACCAAAGGCAACATGATGTTTGCTTACTTTTTAGGTCTAGGCCAAGGTACTGGCAACATGGCTGAAGCCCGAGCACTACTATATGGTGTGTTAGTAGAGGCTATGATAGGGTTTGGGAAGAAACAGATTACCTACTCTTAGTTAAATGCATAAACGGAGAACGCCTTGGAGATTGGATAAATTAATTCAGGAAGCACAACAAATAGTTGAATCTCATGGATTTATCGTTAGTCATTGCTTTAGGGAAGTCAATAAACCTGCTAATATATTAGCATCCAAGAGTTATAATGTTGATGAAATACATGGGTTCAACTCTTTCTCTGATATCCCGAGGAAGTTAGGGGATTAATTAATACAGATAGATGGGAGCTCCCTTCCTTCAGAATGCAACAGGTTAAAGATTCAAATTTTATGTACGAACCTGAAATACATTATCAAGGAGTCAAGTTAGTAGAGTAATAGCTAACTTAGACTCCCCTTTTTTGTTTTTGGTGTTAACTTGTAGAGTTTATCTAACTCTAGTTCTTCCCCAAGATCTTGAATTAAGTTTGGTATGCCAAACTTCAAAATGTAACTCTTTCATATCAATGATCATTGGAGACGGTCTATTAAAAAAATAAAAGAAAAATATAATTACATATGTATAATATACAATTATCTAATCAATATACATATACAATTTACATTTCTCCCACTCTTTTTTCCTCTCTCTCCTAGTCTCGCTCGCCTCTCTCCTCCATATTGTAGCTACAAAGGTAATTATCAAACTATAGTTATGGAGAGTAATTAATTATTTTTAAATGACTATTGTGAAAGTTTCCCAACTTTATATTCACAGTGTTTTATATAAATAAAATATGTACTAGTGTTATTATATACGTTCACTAAATTTTAATAAATATTTTTACTTAAATGTCCTCTATCAAAAAGTATTTAACTATTATTAATACCTAAAATCAGACGGTAAACCCAAATAGTTTTCTCCACCGGCGGCAAATTTTTTATCAATTTTTTTTAATAAAATGCACGGAATCGACGACATCTATTATTGTCTGATTTGGCTCCGTTCAGCAAATTGATGAATGAAATGCACGAAATCGGTAGCACCCATTATTGTCGGATTATGCTCTGTTCAGCTAATTTAATTGATGATATGAACTCTTGAACAAAAACCGATATGAGAAGTGTCCTTTCCCAAGAAGGAAAGAAGGTTCATTATTATTCTCATCAAATGGAACTACCATACAAATGTGTATACATAAGTTTCTCGCAAATCTCCTAGTTCCTTAACTATCATCAAAACCCGAGTTATGATTTAATTTGGTTTGGTATTTAAAAAAATTCGACTAACCTGGAGGTTGATTTGATTTTAACTATAAAAAACAGTCAACACGAGACCAAACCAACCCGACATTATATATAGAGTGTTTAAAATTTATTTATACATAAAAGTGTTTACTTTTAGACCTGTCAATATGGGCTAGCCCACCCCATCCGGGCTAACCCATACAAGCTTTGACATTTTATGGGTCAGGTCGGGCTAACCCATTTTTGTTGTAAGCCAGAAAACGATCGGCCCAACCCACAAGTACGTGGGCTACAGACTTATCGTGTCAGCTCACTTTTTAAATATTTTTTAAGTAATTATTAATTATAATTATAAATTATAATAAAAAAATTATTATCATAAATATCGACAAAACAGTATTACATGATGTCAATGTTACTACTTGTTAATCAAATTCACAGATAAAATTATCTTTATGATATACATTGATTTTTTTCCAAGTAAAAGTATAAATATTTAAATAGAAATATTAACTTAATTGTTTTAAGTTTGTACTATCTTTCATTTTAAATTTTAATATTATATTTATATTTTTAATTAATTTTTATTGTCCTACGGGCCGGCTCTACCGATATATCTCAAGTCCCAAAAATCAGCAGACTTATTCAGGTCAGGCTAAAAAGTTCTTTTCTTATATGTGCTCCAAAAATCTTAGTTCAACCCTATTAAATCCCGGGTTAGCCCAGGCCAGCCCAACGGGCTTAGCCCATATTGACGACTCTATTTACTTTATGTAATTTCTAAATATTACTTATACATTTTCATAATATTTATTTTTTAACATGTTTTCAAGTTTCTTGAGACTTAGAATTTCGATGGTCCAATAAAGGTTATAGTCCATAGATATAAATAACTCTAATAAAGCTCAATTGGAAATCAAATCAATACTAAGCTAACAATATAAATTAATTCAACACTAAGAATGACAATAATGTTGCATATTTGTTTTAAGTTTTACATTGATTTATACATTTAAAATACATACTCTAATTTTAATTTTTCTTTACTGCTTAATCATGTAGCAGCACTTATTAAACTTATTTTAGCATGATTTAGTACTTTTAAATTATGATAATTCTATTATGGCTTTGCAATATTTTATTTTTATGTCGATTTCATTATTATGTTTATTGAATATTTTATTGTCATCAATCATCTCATATTTTATTTTATTTTCTCAATAAATACCTTGGATAGTTGTATTTTGGTTTGACTAAGGAAATATTAGAAGCACAAATTAATTATATATTTATATGCATACCTTATCAGAAAAATCCAAAAATATAGAAAAAAAAATTCAAGATTTATTAGTTTGGTTTAATTTAAAAATTTGACATAATGGTTTGATATTTGAAAAACCTGAATCAACCCGAGATTTAAAAAAAACGAGTTTTATTAATTTGATTTGATTTATAAATTTATTTTTTTTACACAAATAATTTAATTTGATATTTGAAAACCTGAATCAACCCGATCATATACTCCCCTATTCATCACTATTATTATTATCAAACTATATAAGATCATTTGATATGCTGGATAAGTGAGATATTTCAAATGACTAATTCTTTTATTTGTTCAAAAAGTTTTCTTAATATTAGTTCATCCCAAAATATTTAAAATATTTAAATTTAACTATGTTTGAAATGAAAAAAAATTTATTTATATTGTCCAACTTCTTAGTAACAAAGAGTAAAGGAAAAAAACATAAATACTCTCTCTGATCACTTTTATTTGTCATGTTGCATTTTATTAAAGTCAATTTGATTAATTTTTAAAGATAAATTAGATCACATTAATTTGATATTTTAAACAAAGAAGTTAAATATTCTAAAACAATATGAAAAGTACTATATAAATTGCAATTTTTTGCATTTTAATATGATGAATAAATACATCTTAAAATGTTAGTCAAAGTTTTTATTGTTTGACTCTAAAAATAGAAAACATGACAAACAATATTGAACAGATGAAGTACTTTTTAAATATATAATTAGCCAAATTTTGTGTTCTCCATTTTCTTTGTTACTAAAAAGTTTTATAACATAAAAAAATAAAAAAATCATTACTATTATTTTCAAATGTAGTTAGACTTTAATATTTTGGAATGATCTAATAAAAATTTGAATAAGTAAAAGATGATTTTTTGAACAAATAAAACAATTTAACCTATTAGCAGAAGAATTCAATTAAATTGACGCTTCGAACATTAGACGTCCACATATTTCTTTATCGCTTCAAACTACGTCTTAATCATCTGACTTAGTCCACATAGACTTTTATTTTCCTCATTTATAGGATATTAATAATTCAATATTTAACGTAAACATCGACATTAATTATTAGTTTGTAGGTAAATACAACTATCTATTTGTTGTTGGGTATTAATTGTCTTGAGTTTTTTTTTTTTTATCATAAATAGATTTTATTTTAGGAAAATATTTTGAATTGGCTTTATTGAAGATTACGTAAAGAAGTGGACAAATTTATTTTGTTATAAATTCAGGTCAAGGAGAGATTTGTTGGGTATTAATTATCCTGAGTTTTCTTTTAACCATAAATAAAGT